TGTTCATGGAGTCACTTTTTGTGCAGAAATGTCTCAATTACCTTTAAAAGAACTTATGGGTTACATATTACTTTATTTAAACACAACGTATGGGTCAATAATTAACTAGACATCACTTTTATATCACGAGCCATTATTTACACTTTGCTTGAGGTATGGGTTTCTCTGAAATCTAGAACTCAAGACATGATCTTCATAACAACAGAGGCCGGTGCCTGAAGGCGTATAGTCCCTTCATAGGCCGGGGTCGGGTTTGTTACAACGGGTAGTACTAAGCAACTAATTTCAAAGTAGACGCAACATTACCCAACACGCAACATGACCCACTTTTGATGGATGTATCAACTAAGTAGGATAACAGTTTTACTAAGTGTAGATGAATCTACCTCATTACTTTTTCCTCGTGTAACATAACATAACGCATTTGAATTTTTTTAAAGCCACAAGTTTAACGGTCCCACCGGAGCTGGGGCATAGCTATGAAAAACACTTTGTTATACCACAGTAAAGCATAAGATAAAAGTTATAAACGCACAAGTGAGGACACGGTTAGTGATTGTAGCGTCGTGCGGTCGCGTCTGCCGGGAAGACGGTCACGTACAGTGCGGTAACTGCAGGTTTACTTAATACTCACTTTACTATAGGAAACACTGCTTTTGTATTATTTATAGTTACTTAGGTACTACAATTTTGCCCTTCCTGTTTTGATAAATAATCGGAGTCGTGTGAAAATTTCAATTGTATAAGATACAGCCTCTAACTAAATCATTATAAATAAAATCTGGCTATTTTGCCATTTATACGTTGTATGGGAGCTCCCTTTATATTTATTTTCTATTTTTTTGTATTTGATCTTGTGTGGTTCTTGTAGTGGCAACAGAAATATGGCGAATGGGAAAAACTCTGCTATCACGGTTTATGAGATTCATCCTGGTGACGGTGATGGACTGACGGATAGACATTCAGACAGCAAAGTGTCAGTACAAGCCCGGTTCGACCCTTTGGGTACCGAACCTAAAAACAAATTAATAGGCCTTGTCATGGTAGATTGATAGGCAGATGAAGCAAGAACTATCAAACTGATCCACCAACTATCGCAACATAAGTAGAGAAAGAAAATGTATATAGGTACATGTACTAAGTAGGCGTAACATATTATCGATTGCAAAAGCATGTCAGTTCATCTGTCCGCTCCGATTGTATTCATAGGAGCACCTGTCATTTGTTTGTCCTACGCATAGACTTAGCCTAATTTTATCACCAAAGACGTTTATACGCAGGCCCATGTGCAACACTATGATAGAACATTACTCTTGCTTAAAAATTTCACTTGTATTTGTCTAGTGCCCAAAAGAATCCTGGCCCTTTCTTGTTTTTTAGAAATACTACGCTAGTACTAATAATTATCATCATCATCATCATCATCATCATCATCATCCTCAGCCCACATCCACCCACTGCAGGGTATAGGCCTCCTCTCTACAGCGCCAATCCTCACGGTCCCGTGCCAGCCTGGTCCAGTGAGGTCCTGAAAGCTTGATGATATCATCGGACCATCGAGCGGGTGGTCTGCCCACTGACCTTTTCGCTCCTCTTGGCCACCACTCTGTGACTGCTTTTGTCCAGCGATCGTCACTTCGCCTTACCAAGTGTCCTGCCCATTTCCACCTCAACCTCGTCACTCGCTTACCTACATCTTCGACTTTCGTTTTACGCCGAATTTCAACGTTTGGTACGCGGTCAACGAGGGAGATACCTAGCATTGAACGCTCCATAGCCCTTTGTGCGACTTTAATCTTGTGCATGTTTTGCATAGTGAGCGTCCATGTTTCGGCACCATAAGTGAGAATAGGCAAAACACATTGGTTATACACCTTGGTCTTTAGGCATTGTGGAAGTTTTGACTTGAAGACGTCGTCCAGTTTCCCAAAAGCAGCCCAACCTAGTCCGATACGTCTTTCGATCTCTTTTGCCTGTGCTTCTGGGTCAAAGGATAAACGATGCCGAAGATATACGTAATCGCTGACTATCTCCACGGTATCATTACCTACACAGATGTTAGGTATACGTTTGGTGCGATTCGTCATGATCTTGGTCTTGGACATGTTCATCCTGAGACCGACCCTCAGGGAAGCATCATGCAGATCTGATAGCATTTGCTGGAGATCCAGGACACGTTCGGCGATAAGGATGAGATCATCTGCAAATCTCAGATGCGACATGCGTAATCCGTTGATATTGACTCCTCTCTCGCTCCAATCCAACGTCTTCATGATATCTTCTAGTACGTTGGTGAAGAGTTTAGGCGAGAGAGTGTCTCCTTGGCGGACTCCCCTGTCAATATGTACAGGGTCGATGTTTCTGTGCATGCGCACCTGCATTGTCGCAGTCCCGTATAGCTCCCGGAGGACATCTACATATCGCTTGTCAATGCCGCAATAATTATACTGTGAAAATACTGCTGCAAATGCAAATTTCTTAGTTCTACAAAAATATATATCGATTCGATACTGAAAATTGTTGACGGTTTGGAAAAACTTTTATTATTTCCTGACCCATCTCCAATTTTCAGTAGCAGATAACTATAAAAAATCAGGGTTCAAAGATTTTGTGTGTGGGTAGACAGGCCTTGTTCATTTATTTTATTGTTCATTTCTCAAAGTTAGTACATTAGTGTAGTTTTCACTTTTCATTCCGTTTCTTTTATCGTTCTAAGGAATCAAATTAACATAGATACACACATATCACGATCTTATTTCCTATGTTCTTCTTCTTCGTATCACTGGTCCTAAGATATGGTAGATTAAATTTTGTATTGCTAATATTTGGCTACGGCTACCTCATTCCCGGTAGCTTCATTCAAGTCAAGGCAATAGAGGGCAATTTTCTATCGCAAATTAAATAAAATTAAACTATGAATGAAATGGATTCTGTGAACATGGGCTTTCCTTTTATTTGCTTGTTGGCCTAGTCGTTGTATGTCGCAAAAGCTGGCAACATTCTTCTATTGAATTCGACCAAGATTTCTGTCACGTACTACAAACAACAATAAGGGCTATTCAGGCCTACTAGTAGATTGATTTAGACCTTTTTTGCGTAAAATTAAACCGTTTTTGAATGCGTAACTGTGACTAAAGTGTACGAATATTAGTTAATTTTATGCAAAAACGTGGGCTTTATCTTAGGTATAGGAATTTAGAAAAACAATTAGGTAATTGCATGATTTGATAGCAATAGACAGACATTTGACAGCTTCAGAAACGCAGTCATTCTTAAGATAAGAATATTTAGGAACCAAAAAATTATAATATGTACGTGCAATTTGCATCATCATTATCATTTTTCTTCCCTCGGTGCATATTATTAAAATTCTGAGAATTTAATTTTAGTGCATACGTATTGAATTCGGTTACGAAAAAAACCGTTTTTTTTTTTGTAATTAGCGCTTAACTCCCATGTTTCCTATGAACCTTGGTCCAATTTATAACAAAACTTACCTATTTCCAATATATTTCACAAACAATAAACTTGGTATTTCTTAACATCCGTTCCTAAAAACGTTCGCCAAAATTTTACATAAACTATTAATTAGCTATTATACTATTCTTCTTAAGACCCATTTCACAATATCTTTAACAACTGAGGTCATTCTTTCAATTAGAAAACAATGAACTTGCCACATTAGCTACATAGGTTTCGATGATGCCAATAATACTGTAATCATCCTATAGAACAGTTTAATTTAAATAGGTCTTCTTGTTCAATTCATTGGTCAATGCAATTGCCAATAATAGGTACCTAGGTACGTGATCGTAATAATACGATTCAATAAAGCAAACAAAGTTATAGCCCATCTTATTGTTCAAAAATAGCTAGTGTCGAAATTAACATGCATAAGTATAGTTTACGAGGAACATCAAAGGCGAACATGCATGCATTTTTGAATATCAGTGTTTTTCCGTGCTCGTCTTGTATGTGTGACAGGTGATTTCTGGATGTAGGTGCAGGTCATTGAGACTCTTTACCTAGAGCATAGGTATATTATCAAGGTCACATCAATAGATCCTATTCCTTCTATACTAGAAGCCATCAAATCTATTTCAGAAGCATAGTAGTGTAAGACAAAGCTTAGGTAAAATTTTTTTTTTTTTGCAATTTGGAATCCATTATATAGAGGTACAGTCGAAATAATATGAGCATTGAATATGGTGTAAATATTTATGCGATATTAAGTACTTCTTTCCAAAGAGGGTTGACGTCAGGCAAACGGCCGGTCATAAAATGTTGTTTAGTTTCAAAGTCAGGTCACGCTTGTAAAGTTTTCTGTAAATCTTCCCTTAACAAGATATCTGAATTTCTGAACAGATTGGAAATATTCAATCTGTTAAAAAAAAGACTAAAAAGAGATCGTCTACATAGGAACAAGAGCTTGTCTATCTGCGATCTAATGTGTTTGATCCAGATGTAAGCGATCACGGTATAACGTGACAACTGCCTGATTGCAATCTGTCGTGGATGACAGCTGTCATGCTCTGATGGGTAGAGAAGTTTATGAGAAACTCGGTTAGTTGCTTGAAGTTAGTCGAAAGATGGTGCAAAAATCTCTCTTGTTCGTTGGTAACAAATAAAAAAATATATAAGTATTATATCAGTTGTCTAGTTCCCATAGTACAAGCTTTGCTTAGTTTGGGGCTAGATGGCGCTGTGTGTCTCGTCCAGGGATATTTATTTATTTATTTTAACAATCCTTCTATTCGGCATGAAATTATTATAAAATTAGGTCAATTTTTATGAAATACCATAAAAGCACATAATGTACAGTTGTACACATGCATTTATCGCCTTTAGCTAATGTACCTACACACATGATGACATTAGATGATGATTTGAAGTTGTTAGTTATTGAGTTGTTAGTAGATAGATACTGAAGGCTAGATCATTTTCCTTTCAGGAACTTATTATGAAACATATAAATGAAAATAAGGATATGAAAAATTGTTAGCGTTGACCGGGGCTTAAACCCTGGACCGTGGGGTACCGTCCCACTGCTCTGTCAACTGAGCTACCGGCGCCTAGACGGTGCTCACGAAACTTTCAACCTCTTGATGCTAGGCTCGAACTTATTATGAAAATGTGGATAATATTCCTGCAACTGTTGATTTCCTAATAGGTAGAACTCAGATACAGAAAATAACCGCAGGTGGGCCGGCACCTAGTCGTTGGAGTTTCTTTAAACAGTAGTTAAAACACGGAAGATGTAGTAAATATACGTTTTCATGCTAACCAGATAGAAAACGCATAGTGTATACGTAAGAACATATTTTTAGTTCCTACATTTCCGCCCGCAAAAAGCAACAAATGGATTTCTAGATATGCGTAGAATGGGTTAGTCAGGAAAATATAAAGTGAAATTTAATTTTACTTGTGACCGATAGCGAAAATGCAGCACGAACTGGTGATAAGGAACAACTTTTCTCAAGGAACAAAGGTTCTAGGTGTGAAAAAATAATTTGGACGTCCCATACAAAATTGCCGATCAGCTGACTGAGCCACTATGGGAGATTCCACATATTTTTCTTATTTCGATCTGTGTTCCTGGGATAAGAAGGGATCATCGGGTCGTTGAACGACTCGGTGTCCCACACGAAAAAGAAGAATGATAAGGAACAATGATGATGATAAGTTATCATCACCAGTACGTCCTTCATTTTCACTGGGAATTTCGGATATTTCTTTGCTGAGATTTTGATTGAGATCCAAGTGATTTCAAATACCTACCACACAACCAATTTATTCTAATGATTTGCTAAAAAGCACATTAAAAGCTTAAAAGCCAAATTACATACAAAATAGTTAGCTCAAATTCCGGTTAAGTGAATGTTTATTCATAATGCAGGAAATCCTTCTAGCTCAACCTTGCACGGGTTTTAAGAATACATTTTAAAAGTAATTAAAAATCTTCAATATTCATATATTGAGTTAATTTTCCATTAGAACTTTATTGAAATTTTAATGTGTTAACTTGTTATGGATACCTATTGGTTTTGCTACTTGGTTCGACGTTTACTGGAACCTCAGAGGAACTCAAGGTAACTAAGAAGATGGTTGGCACGAAAGGTTGTCATATTTCTTGTATTCAAAGCGACTCAGAGTCATATTACGTTCTTGTATCAGATTTAGAGCTGTATTTCGTCCTCGTAATGAATCAAGCAACCCTGGCTATTTAGCAAATGACAATAGCGAAAATTCTAAATATGGTCCAGTGGTCTTTCTGTAGGTATTAAACTCTCTATTTTGTGGTTATAATCTTATAAAAATACTAAGTTTACAGGGTTTAGGGTTTGATAAGTTCTATATGACCGGTGCAAGTAAAATAATTGTTCACTAGGTGTTACTGGATTTTATGTATCCGAATCAGATTTAAAATCAATGAAGAAGTGTTGTACCTATGGTCTAAGTGCGAGACACAATAAACATTTGATTGATGGCAAGTCAATGATTGACGAAACGATTAGGAAAATGATAATCTAATCTTACATGCATTATGGATCACCAATTACAATCAATTTGATGTCCAGTGGTAGATATATTTTATATCTTGACCATTACACCGTTAAGCACTGCCGTTCTAAATCGTGACTAAATTCAGCCATTTTGGATCTGCAAGGTTCTGTACAAACGAGCTTCATTTCAATGACCGTTCATTATGCAGTTTCAGTGTAGTTCACATAATCTATCGTGATTATACCTTCAATTAACTGAATTACAAATTGAAATACTAATTTTATTTATACATTTCATTCAATAAACTAAATTTTAGGGAAATTTCCAGCAGGTAATTTGAAAAGTGCAGGATTCCTAAAACTGCGCTGGTAAAAACGCTGTAAATTTAGTAAAATACTGACAAAAAAATTAGTTTATCTCGCTTAGCTAAGAAAAACCACAAGCAAGCATAAATCTGTGCAATACTATTTCCATATTTATATGGCACGAGAAGGGCAACGTCTTGTTTCTGCTTTGCAACATATGTTTGATAAGTATTAGATTGGCAGTTCAGTCCGTCTGTCTGGACCCTAATTTCATTGAGAAATGCGAAGGAGTTATTCAAATAAATGTTATCAATTACAATAGACGTGTCGACTTGTCACAACTGTAATATTAAGTTGGTGAAATATAGGTTATCGAGTTGAACTTTCAAACAATCAACAATCAACAACGGTCAGGTCTAGACAGAGTGATAAATTATGAGGTGTTGCGTCCTTTCTAGACAGACTGTAAGTTATTAATGCTTTCATTCTGTAATGTGAGGTAAAAAAAACTATCTAGATAGGATTGATCCTGCGTGTAATCATAGATTGTGACATTATAGATTTACCGTGTATATTGGGGTATTCCAAAATATGTCTTTGCGGCTGAGTTATTATGTATACCTACGCAAGTGATTTTCATTCAATCCTTGGGTTACAGATTTTAGAAAATGTATTATTATAAAAATAACTTAGATCAAATTCTCACACATCATCATCATCATTGGCCTCATACGTCTGTGACAGACGATTTATTCAGTGTCTGAGGCAAGATTTTTCATGGCTGTATAAGCCGATACGATCTCACACATACCTACATACTTATATCACACCTAGGTATATCCCTTGCAAGGGTAGGCACACACAGCGTAGATGGTTGTACACAACGGCCACTTATAGTTCGAGAGCCCAGGGGGTAAGTGGCTATCTCATAAGGTACCACGATAGGCTAGGTTTGGATCGTTAACCAAGACTTAAACAAGTCGTATGACCCAGGTCTGCCAGAGCCAATCCTGCCGAAACATAAAAATAATCGATATTTTTCAGAGTCATTTTTTCGTAAAAAATATGTCATAAGGTACCACAATGAAAGTGCTGGCATCAGTTAACCATTGAAAAATTATGTAAAAAAAGCTTGGTCTGCCACTGCGCACCCTGCCGGAAGTGCTTGCCAGACCTCTCCAAAGATGCCCTTTCGACACCCCTAAACTATCTCATCGGGTACCACGACGCGACCACCACAACATAATAGCCAAGATCACTCTGACAATAGATCACAAGGTCTGCCAGGCCTAAACTTGCCGCATCCTAGTGTTTCAGACATTTGAAGTTGTAGGTCCAGTGTATGAAAAATGACCTATATCTTTTTCCCCCGTGTTTGATTTTGATGGTGCCTTAATACGAAATGCTCTCCATAATAAGGAGCTTCGAGTCATATAGGATAGTTGGGTGGAGGGTTTCAGTATTGAACGCAATCCTGTCAAAAAGTTTGAAATGGAGATTTGGTCTATGAAAACTGGCCTATATCTTATTCCCCCCGGGTTTGATTTTGATGGCGCCTTAATATGAAATGCTCTCCATAACTAGGAGCTTTGAGTCATATAGGTCAGTCATATAGGTGAGAGGAGGGTCTCTGTATTGTACACAATCCTGTCAAAAAGTGTGAAATTGTAGGTAAAGTGTATGAAAACTGGCCTATATCTTTTCCCCCACTGGTTTGATTTTGATGGTGCCTTGGTATGAAATGCTCGTAATGATTAGGAGATTCGATTTATATAGGTCAATTGGATAGAAGGTCTCTGTTCTGTGCACAATCCTCCTAAACATGAAAATATTCGATAACTTCTGCAGATTTTATCAGTTAATATCGTCATATCATAAGGTACCCGAATAAAAGTGCCGGCATCAGCTTACCATTGATAAATTGAGTTAAGAAAACTTGGTCTGCCATTGCGCACTCTGCCAGAAGTCCTTGGGAGACCCCTCCAAATATACCCTTCCGACACCCCTAACCTATCTCATCTAAGGACTTCCGGCAGAGTGCGCAGTGGCAGACCAAGTTTTTTTAACATAATTTGTCAATAGTAAGCTGATGCAAGCACTTTTATTCGAGTTCCTTATGATATGACAATTTTAACTGATAAAATCTGCAGAAGTTATCGAATATTTTCATATTTAGGAGGATTGTGCACAGAACAGAGACCTTCTATCCAATTGACCTATACAAATCGAATCTCCTAATCATTACGAGCATTTTATACCAAGGCACCATCAAAATCAAACCAGTGGTTAGGTAGGGGTGAGATAGGTTAGGGGTGTCGGAAGTGCATATTCGGAGGGGTCTGACAAGGACTTCCGGCAGAGTGCGCAATGGCAGACCAAGTTTTCTTAACTCAATTTATCAATGGTAAGCTGATGCCGGCACTTTTATTCGGTAACCTTATGATATGACAATATTAACGGCAAAAATCTGCAGAACATATCGAATATTTTCATGTTTAGCAGGATTGAGATTTTTTCCGTTAACATTGTAATTTCATAAGGTACCCGAATGACAGTGCCAGCATCAGCTTACCATTGATAAATTGAGTTAAGAAAACTTGGTCTGCCATTGCGCACTCTGCCAGAAGTCCTGGGAGACCCTCCAAATATACCCTTCCGACACCCCTAACCTATCTCATCTAAGGACTTCCGGCAGAGTGCGCAGTGGCAGACCAAGTTTTTATAACATAATTTGTCAATGGTAAGCTGATGCAAGCACTTTTATTCGAGTTCCTTATGATATGACAATTTTAACTGATAAAATCTGCAGAAGTTATCGAATATTTTCATATTTAGGAGGATTGTGCACAGAACAGAGACCTTCTATCCAACTGACCTATACAAATCGAATCTCCTAATCATTACGAGCATTTCATACCAAGGCACCATCAAAATCAAACCAGTGGGGGAAAAGATATAGGCCAGTTTTCATACACTTTACCTACAATTTCACACTTTTTGACAGGATTGTGTACAATACAGAGACCCTCCTCTCACCTATATGACTGACCTATATGACTCAAAGCTCCTAGTTATGGAGAGCATTTCATATTAAGGCGCCATCAAAATCAAACCCGGGGGGAATAAGATATAGGCCAGTTTTCATAGACCAAATCTCCATTTCAAACTTTTTGACAGGATTGCGTTCAATACTGAAACCCTCCACCCAACTATCCTATATGACTCGAAGCTCCTTATTATGGAGAGCATTTCGTATTAAGGCA